ATTGAAATGGTCATGTTTATCGAGCGCGGTATACGCGGCGGTCTGAGCCAATGTTCCGGTAGATATGCACAGGCTAACAACAAGTATATGCACTCGCATGATCCGTCGAAAGCTTCCTCATACTTGATGTACTTCGATGTAAATAATCTATACGGATGGGCAATGTGTCAACCACTGCCATACGCTGAATTTCGCTGGGTTGACGATGTTGCAGATTTTGACTTTAGCGCGATCGCCTCGGACTCGCCCACGGGTTACATTCTCGAGGTCGATCTCGAGTACCCGCAAAGTATACACGACGAGCACACTGACCTACCGTTCTGTCCGACGCGCGATAAGCCGCTCGGCATGCGGCAGGCAAAACTTCTGGCGACTCTATATTGCAAGAAGCGTTACGTCATTCACTATCGTAACCTACAGCAATGCACGCGTCAGGGTATTCGCGTCACAAATATACATCGCGTACTACAATTCGCGCAATCCGCGTGGCTCCGCGATTATATTGAACTAAATACGCAATTTAGAACGCTCGACAAGAACGATTTTGAGAAAAATTTGTATAAATTGATGAATAACGCAGTATTCGGTAAAACTATGGAAAATGTGCGAAATCGCGTCGATGTAAAATTAATAACTAAATGGGAAGGACGACACGGCGCGGAGGCAATGATCGCAAAACCAAATTTCCATAGCCGAAGCATCTTTTCGGAAAATCTGACAGCCGTTGAATTGCGCAAACTCGAGGTGAAATTCAACAAGCCGATCTACGTAAGTATGTGCATTCTCGACATATCTAAAATCTGTTTGTATGAATTTCATCACGAGTACATGTTACCTTTATATAACAACAGATGTAAAATTATGTACACCGACACGGATAGCCTTATATACCACATCCAGTGCGAGGACGTGTACGGGACGATGAAACGTGATATTCATAGATTTGACACGAGCGATTATCCGACAGATAACGCGTACGATATTCCACTTGTTAATAAAAAAGTGCCAGGTTTAATGAAAGATGCCTTCTGGACGAGGTCGGTAAACTGTTCGAGCGAATACTCGTGAACCGCCTCGTCCAGCACCTGTCCCAAACGGGCCCTGACATTAGC